ATATATTTCATCACGACCAGATGAAAACACTAACTCATCTAAATTGACAGAGTGTCTTAAAGATATAAAATGCTGGAGGACGTGTAATTTCCTGCTATTAAATTCAGATAAAACGGAGGTATTACTTATTGGTCCAAAAAACTACCCACAAAACCTCTTACAATACAACTTTAATTTAGAAGGATGTCCTGTTACTTTATCCACTACAGTAAAAGACCAGGGCCCGTATGTATAAAGCCACTCAGAGTAAAATTTTAGTCTCAAGTCTGTCAAAATTCTAAGAATTACATAATTTTACTCTTATTCCTAAACTTAAGAATAAGTGTGATTCATAAAAGTTCCTAAGTGCTAAGACTTGGTCTCAGCTCCTAAATTATTTAAGAGAGCTGGAGAGGTCTCCTAACCTAGTTAGGAGTAACAAAATGGCAGCAGAGAGGTTAGGCCATGCACTTTTCAACGAAAATATGATGAATTGTAGTTAAATGAGTTGATCAAACAATAAAAAAAAAAGTTTAATCATCAAGGTATTCTTTTTGTAACTTACCTTTAAAAAGTTTCATAGCAATGAAATTAAAGTAATAATTATATTTTTGGCGAATGGAGAAATGCAGCAGTGCACCTGTGATGATATATTTATTTGAATGGCTGGTGAGCCAAAGACAATTTTCCACCTTGGTGGACAATACAGATATTACAATTAAAAAGCTCACAGGAGAGAAAAAAATCATATATTGTCTGCAACATAATCATTTATTAATATTTGATTTTCCTCTCTAGTTTTTTCACCTGTTCATAATTTATTTGTATGACAGCTTAGCTAAAAATTATGTCAATTTGGAATGTTTCATTGTGTTATCACAAATAAACAATTGACTCCAGGCACAACTACAAAATACGCTTACAAAATATTGAACACATTTTTAATACTATTTGAATAAAGGGTGAATCTGACAATTTTCCTTCAATACTAAGTTGTGATAATTTTGCACAATGCAAAGCCATTTAAAAAAATACATTTAAATATTAAAGTTTCAGTGTCTTAATTAATTAAGTCCCACTTCAGTCAGCACTTAAGAATCAGTCTTATACTTTACTGAAAGTTGCTTTTAGCTGCTTTATAAAAGTCTCCTACTCTTAGAAAAGTCCTACTCTTTACTAAGTATTTTTTTACACTTAAGTCAAAGCTTAAGACTATTCTTAAGATCATTTCTTAGAAGTTTTATACATACGGGCCCTGGGCCCGTATTCATAAAGAATCTTAATGCAAAGAGTCGCTCCTAGTGACAAAATTCTAAGAAAATTCTTAGAAATGTGGGCGTTTACTCTTAAAATTAAAGAAAAAATCCTAGTAAAGAAAAAATTAATTCAGAAAGTATCTTAACCCTTAAAAGAGGTCTTAAGGTCAAAATTGTTAGGAGTACGGATGAGGACTTTTAAGAGGCTTAAGAGTTTCTTTAGCAGAGGATAAAATGGCAGAAAGATGAAGAGGGAGAAGAAATGTGTTGCAGACAATGGATGACAGTGAGTTAATAAGACGCTATAGATTGACACCCGGCCCAAATTTTCCTTTAAGGATGGCCTTGTGTTCATCCACTAACTGGGCTAACAGTAAACACTGTTCCTCTGTCCAGTCGGGCTTTCTCGTCCTTCTTGGTTTTGATTCCATGTTTGTTACATTAAAACCAACATTCAAACCACCACTTAAATAGACACGCCAGCAATCAGTGTAATTGGAAAGAGTGGAACAATTTTTATCATTCTAAGCCGATCAAATACCTTATAGAAAATTAAAAGCATGGTAAATAAAAAAACGATTTATATACACATATATAATGTGTGTGTGTGTGTGTGTGTGTGTGTGTGTGTGTGTGTGTGTGTGTGTGTGTGTGTGTGTGTGTGTGTGTGTGTGTGTGTGTGTGTGTGTGTGTGTGTGTGTGTGTGTGTGTGTTTGTGTGTGTGTGTGTGTGTGTGTGTGTGTGTGTGTGAGTGAGTGAGAACGGTCAAATAGATAAAATTACGCATGTAATTTCAAAGTGAAGGCCTATAATGGACCCTATACTTAAAATCACTCTTTTTTTTTTTCCTTTTTGGACAACCAACCAATCACAGTCTTCAAAAGATTGTGTCATACATAGCAACGGGGTCAACCCCGCCTCCTCACTAAGATGAAAGTTTTTGTCTTTTCCTTACTCAGAGTTGCTCTCAGATCGGTCACGGATCGCTCTTAAGCTAAGAATCCTACGTAAAAGGTTTTAAGCTAAATTAAGAGTTTTCTGAGAGGATTCTTAGAATCTTTATGAATACGGGCCCTGGGTGTTATACTAGACCGAAACTTGTCTTTCGAAAATCATATTTCATATGTTACAAGAACAGCCCTTTTCCACCTTAGAAACATTGCTAAGCTACGTAACGTGCTATCTGTTTCTGATGCAGAAAAGTTAGTTCATGCATTCATGACCTCGAGACTAGATTACTGTAATGCTTTATTAGCTGGTTGTCCTGCATCCTCAATAAACAAGCTACAGTTAGTGCAAAATGCTGCTGCTAGAGTTCTTACTAGGTCAAGAAAATATGATCATATAACACCAATTTTATCATCTCTACACTGGTTACCTATTAAGTTCCGTATCAATTACAAAGTATTACTACTGACCTATAAAGCCCTAAATGGTTTAGCTCCTGTGTATTTAATGGACCTTCTATCCCCCTACAATCCATCGCGTTCTTTAAGATCACTAAATTCGAGGCTTCTGGTCATTCCTAGGATATCTAAGTCCACTAAAGGAGGGAGGGCGTTCTCACATTTAGCTCTTAAACTCTGGAATAGCCTTCCTGATATTGTTCGAGGCTCAGACTCGCTGTCCCAGTTTAAAACTAGATTAAAGACGCATCTCTTTAGCCAAGCATTCACATAATGCTTACCTTTTATACCACTGTTGAATCAGATCGAATGCATTAATATTATGAACAGCAGCTATGCTAATTATTTCCCATCTGCTTTTCTGCTGTTATCTCCGGATGCTAGTCCCGAGGTAAATAGCGTTCGTCAGCTCCAGTTTGTATCCAGCTTCTCACCGAGACTTCAGATGCCCCAACACCTGCGATGAGATGACTAAACGCCTGTGAAGAGACGACTCGACGCCTGTGAAGAGACGACTCAACGCCGGCGATATGTTATGCCCTAAATTAACACATGATTAACTAACTGTATTTTTCTATGTACATTTCTGAAATGCACTTTCTGTAAAGCTGCTTTTAAACAATATGTATTGTGAAAAGCGCTATACAAATAAATTTGAATTGAATTGAATTGATTGGTCTGTGTTGGTCTGTGTTTTCTGGCTGGTGCAAGCTCGAGGCTTTTCACCCCTAGACTGTGGAGTCACGGAAGTTCTCTCATTCCTTCAAGAGCTACTGGATAAGGGCAGAACCCCATCCACGCTCAAGGTTTATGTGGCGGCCATTGCAGCGTTTACTAAACCAGCGACTGGCCAGTCACTGGGGAAGAGCGATCTGGTAATCCGCTTCCTTAAGGGACCTAAGAGGCTGAATCCTCCCAGACCACCTTCAGTTCCCATGTGGGACCTTTCTAAGGTTTTGGAAGCCATGAAAGGTACCCCGTTCGAGCCAATCCATTTATCAGACATGAAACATTTGTCGTTCGAGACAGTGTTTCTTATGGCTCTTGCTTCGGTGAAGCGCAGAGGGGACTTACAAGCGCTCTCAGTAAGCGCAACGTGTATGGAATTCTGGCCAAATGACTCGAAAGTCATACTCAAACCAAGACATGGATACGTGCCTAAATCCCTCAACACACCGTTCAGGGCCCAGGTTATTTCCCTGTCTGCCCTGCCGGTTTACAACAAGGGAAAAGACACGAGCCTCCTTTGCCCAGTCAGGGCATTAAGAGCTTATGTGTCTCGCTCGTCTGTTTTCAGACAGACTGAGCAGCTCTTTGTTTTGGTTCAGTGGGCGTGCTAAGGGTTTAGCCGCATAGAAACAGAGCCTATCCAGATGGATAGTTGATGCCATAGCGCTGGCGTACACTTCTAAAGGCTTACAGTGTCCTTTGGGTGTCAGAGCGCACTCCACAAGAGGCATGGCCTCGTCGTGGGCTTGGTCTAGCGGGATTACCTTGCAGGATATTTGTATGGTTGCAGGCTGGGCCTCCCCGTCTACATTTATAAGGTTTTATAACCTAGAGGTTCCCGCCTGGCAGGCTAAACTACTTTCGGTCTAAAGATCAGAACTGTCTGCTCCGTTGCTTCGGCTCAGTATACTGAAACCACTTGAGCACCGATCGCTGATAAAAAAAACTTAAAAAAAAAACTCCATGGGCAATAAGTAAGACCCATACCGTTACCCAGTTCGGGCCGAACATTTTCACCCTGACTGTGTGGAACACTGTTGATGTGATTAGCTCCCTTAGGATGCTACTTATTGGGAATGACGTTTCTAGCCTCTCTTCTCAGACTCTCTGTGAGTCCATGGTGATTAGGCACTACATGAGTCCCGGGCACTTGCCCTTGGGACTTTGGTGCTGGATCCCAGCACGCACAGCGTTTTACATTATGTTCCCCTAGCGTAAGATATTACTCAGTATGAGAGAACCTCTCGTAAGAGAACGTACTCGGTTACTAACGTAACCTCGGTTCTCTCTAGAAGAGGGAACGAGTACTGCGTATCTTTGCCTGCAACACGCTCTGGTTCGCTTTGGCGATGAAAAATCAGATTAAATCAGCCCATCGAGCTGTATTTATAGGCCCAGGCCACGCCCGTTTCGGCGGGACATGACATAGTGGGCGCGAAGCGCCTCCATTGGATCTGACGGACTTTTGACTTGAGCTCGGCGACTTCTAAGGGCACATGCGCAATTGATAATTCTGTTTTGCGACACTGATTTTGATTTACGACACTGCACGATCTGTTCCATGCATGCGCATATTTGTACCGCGAAACTTTCATTCACTCACAGCGAAAGAAAATGGAGTTTAGCGGAAGAAATGAGAAGTTTGCCCTTTACGCTGCCGTTAGGCAGTATTTGGTTTACAGGTTGGTGGATGCGGCGTTGAAGAAGAAGGTCTCACGAATGGCTGCAAATTTCGTTATAAGAGGTAAGTGAGTGTGGGTATTTGAAATAATATTAGCATTGTTTTAGTTAACACGTGTGAGCATCTCAGTAACGTTCCATCTAGTCAGACATAGTAACCGCCAACATTTTTCACCACACGTGTTTGCATCCCTGAACAAAGACACATGTGCACATAAGTGCTGTATTGTAATACCAAACAAAGCAGCAAAATCATTAAGTAACAAACATTGTTTGTCTATCACAGAAAGTAAATTATTCTACATTGGCCCCAGTGCACATTTTTTATGAGGCTGGTTGTGCTGTCTGATGAGCAGAGGCGGGCTGTCCTGGAGGAGTGCCACAACAACCCTGGCACAGGGAACCATGGGGGCGTGAGGGCGACCATGGAGAGGGTTGTTGTGGGGTACTACTGGGATAACATAAAGGCAGATGTGGCAGATTGGGTACTTTTTTGGAACTTTCATGGAATTTAACACTATGGCTCTCAGGCAGTGAATTGTTGCAGTGGCTTTGTTTGAATTCAGATAATTATTTGGTCTAAATAACAAATGTATCCATCAGGTCAAAAGCTGTCACAGATGCCAAAAGAACGACCCCATAAAGACTGTGTCTCCTGCCCTTCACCCTATTAAGGTAGAGCTTACCTTGGTGTACCACTTGAAGCAACAAGTTAGGTGATGTGGTAATATTACATATCTCTACAGGTGAAAGAGCCATGGGAGGTGGTTGGTATGGACCTCATTGGTCCACTGAAAAAAAACATGAAAGACCATCAATACGTCCTCACGGTGACAGACCTCTTTACAAAGTGAGTTATCGTTGAGCCTTTGAAAAGTGGCTCCAGCACTGGGGTGGCTGAGGCACTTGTGTCAAAGCTCGACACATTTGGTATGGTCCAGAAAATCATCACTGACAGGGGCCGTGCATTTGTTGACGAGGTATGTGTCCTTATTACCCTCTCCCTTCACACAGGACATATGACATCATCACAATTCACGCTGTTTTAAGCGGTCATTGGTCATTTCTGAGACCAATAAATATTGAAAATAACCATGTGTGTTTGAATTATGTACAGCTTAATGCACACATATTTGCGGCGCTGAACATCAAGCATGCCATCACAAGTGCATACCATCCCCAGTCAAACGGCCAAGTAAGTGTGCCATCATGACATCCCGCAAAACAGTAAAGTCAACTTTACCAATGTATACTAAAGTGCATGTAGTAATTCCTTTCTATGTTGAAGGATGAGAGAACAAATCAAAATGTAAAGAGGACTCTCAGAAAATATGTTAATCAGCACCATGATGATTGGGACATCTACTTGCAGGCCATAGTTTATGGAATAAACACTGCAAAACAGGTTATTATTCAAAATTACTAGATAACGTATATTGCATACATGTTTTAAGAGTTTTATTTTGTGATTTGATGCAAAACATTTTGTTTCAAATTAAAGATTCCACCAAGTACAGCCCGTACTTTTTAATGTACAATAGGCACCCCCGTCTACCACAGGTATTAAATTGTCTATGAGACAGACGCTGCCTTTGAATTGGTGGACCCAGAGGAGGAGCTGGAGCTAAAACTAGCTGGAGTCAAAGCCCTCAATGAAACGGTTTGTTCAGAGTTCTGTGGATGGCATGTTCAATTTGAATAAGACTGTTCGCATAGTAATATATTCTTATCTTTAAGGTACGGAAAAACATTGAAAAAGCACAGGGGAAACAAAAAAAGGCTTTTGAGGCAAAGGAAAGGAAAGGGGTTCGCCAGTGCTCAGTTAAGGCAGGGGACGAGGTCCTAATTGGGGAGCCCAAAAAGAAAGTGAAGAAGGGAAATTGTTTATGGGATCTCCACCAAGGGCCATTCACCCTCACATCCCTGACAGAGAAGGGTGTGGCAAGTGTGGCTATGTTAGGGAAAATACAGAAAGTTAATGTTGTGCAGCTAAGGCCCTACTTTCGGCCTCAACTTTTTCTTTTTTCATCCAGTTAAGCCTGAACAGCACTCTGAAAATCTTCAATCTGATGACACTGTCTTACAGCCTTAACAAATACATATCAAACTGAGTGAAATGGACTGATATCCTGTTCAGGCAAAGCCTTGTTCTCTGGCTTTAGGATTGAGTAAAAGCCTTGTTCTCTGGCTTCAGGTTTGAGTAAAAGCCTTGTTCTCTGGCTTTAGGATTGAGTAAAAGCCTTGTTCTCTGGCTTTAGGATTGAGTAAAAGCCTTGTTCTCTGGCTTTAGGTTTGAGTAAAAGCCTTGTTCTCTGGCTTTAGGATTGAGTAAAAGCCTTGTTCTCTGGCTTTAGGATTGAGTAAAAGCCTTGTTCTCTGGCTTTAGGTTTAAGTAAAAGCCTTGTTCTCTGGCTTCAGGTTTGAGTAAAAGCCTTGTTCTCTGGCTTTAGGATTGAGTAAAAGCCTTGTTCTCTGGCTTTAGGATTGAGTAAAAGCCTTGTTCTCTGGCTTTTGGATTGAGGAAAAAACCTTGTTCTATGGATTCAGCTTTGCATAATTTTTTTCCAGACAACTTGCAGGAGCACTGGCTAATGGACCGTGGGTGGAGAAGATGGGCAAAGATTTTGATGTAACTTTGCTTACTATGTAATTTTGCCATTTCATTTTGCTCAGCAGACACTATGTATGGTTGTCAACATCACATCTGAGTAAATGTATATTACTTTTCAGCCATTTCCAGTTCAGTCAGATGGACAGAGCTGTGGGATATTCATGCTTATGGCAAACTTATACAATTTCTAATAAATTTTTCCTGTTTGTCCTAAATCTCCGTAATCATTATTTTTCTCTTTAACAGTATGACCTCTGCATCTGTACTGGTGCCATGTTTCACTTTTTGGATGTAAGTTGTAATTCATGGAATGTATATGTATCCAAGAATGACAAACAATGCAAGACTCCAATATTACATGTGTATTACAGACTGACATACCATCTATTCGGAAGTGGTGGTGTCTCCAGATTTTGGAGAAATTCTCGATCGCAAGGTAGGACACATTTCAAGCAGTAAAACATTGGTCTGCTTTACAATTATGCTACATTAAAAGTACCATACTTTTGAATAGGCATGGGCAGAACTTCGGGCAGCACTTTGCCTTCTGGACAGAGGAGGCAGAACAGCTGATGGCAGGGACCCTACCACCAATTTATAGGATTTCTAGACCCCAAATAGTCAAGGTATGGCCAAACTAACCAGACAACCATTTCCACGTATGCATTCTATACAGGTAGGTCTCAAATTTTTTTAATATTTTGGAAAAGTGTGTGAATTACTGAATTAAATGTAAAACTTGAAACTGATACATTATATACAGGGTCCGAAATTAACACCCGCCAAGAGCCAAATGCGGGTAGATTTTCCGTTTGGCGAATAAATCTCAAAAGGCTATCCGCCCCACTGGCGGGTGAATGTTCATACCAAAATAGTAATGTAATAAAATGTTTATTACAATTGCATTTTGTAATGTTATAAAATATCTGGCATGATGGCTACGGACATGACGGAGTTGTTGTGTTTGCGGGATGGGAATTGAAAACCGGTTCCACTCGAGAACCGGTTCTAAGTTTTATGAACCATCGATATTGTATGCCCTCGACGTTAACGAGTCCTCTTATCGATGCTCCTGCTCCAAAGTGAATTTTTGTCCCGCCATAGTCTTATTTGATCGGTGAGTAATGTAGACGAACTGCTGTGCGTGTGACAGGGCGCAACTGAAGAACGAGCAGAGATCGCGCGCGCTCTTTCTCTCCGGAGCCAGGCGAAAGTATAAACAAGGCTTCAGCGTCTCCTAAGCGCTGTCTTGCTCTCTCTCCCTGTGGCCAAGCCCCCATTAATGCACGGGCTTACTGGGGCTGAAGCCCCAGGGCCTATGAAGACAAGGGGCCTATCATAAGCCAATAAGAAAATCACATTGTTTTGTAGTTTGTCGAATTTTCTGTCAATCATGTTTTTGGCTGCTGATTGATCCGATTCACAAGTGACCCACGTGGGAAGCATGATATGACAGGCAGACAGCCTATCAGAATGTAGAGAAACAGTTTGTCAATGTAGTGATAATCAGATAGGTAGTCGAGCCAGCTCTGGTATGTGGAGTAAATTAACTAGATTCTAATTGACTAAAGTTCCCCTCCATTCTTCCATTCGTGAAACAAAGGGGATAGTGTTTTGAATTGATTAAATCATTGACTCTGACCCGCACATGCAGCGTTCTTCGCTAATGAATGAACAACGAAATGCTTTGCTTACGAGTTGAGCCAGCTCTGGACATGTGACTCGAGATGAGATCTCATGAGTCTGGCCGAAGATCAACCAGAGAACAGCCCCTTAGGGTCTCCCCTGATTTGATCACCTCACAAACAGAGCATTGTGTAATGAGTAAGTCAATTCACAATGCTGCCTGAATGCTGACGGACAATTACCCATTCCACACACACACCACGGATGGACAGATGTACGCCACACATACCCGCACACAGACGTCTTTGTGCATAACTTAGGATAGAAATGTCCTATAAGGTAAAATTGTATATAACACAGAATTGTATCCAACCTTCCTGTATGCATGCATATCTAATTAGTTTTGTCTTATTCTATATATGCAATCTGAGACTGTTCTGTAACTTCGAATCTTAAGTTTATTTCTAAAAGAAAGATGAATAGACTCTGCAATCTTATACTGTCTATAAGTATAACCACTTAAGAAATGCATAAACATGAATTTAATATTTCCTAGGTCATGGTAGCCGGTATTATGGCTTTATAGTCGTGTGAAGGAACATTAAATGCTCATAAAATGCATATCTTATGTAACTCTGTATTCCGATAATCTTCATGTGACGTGTTTGATATGTCTGCCATTCTCTCAATCTCACGGAGCCGAATTCCGATAGCATAATGCAGTAAGGTGCATTATGCTGTTGCACCTTTCATACTCCTGAAGCCGAACGGATCAAATACAATCTCCTCATGACTCAGTCTACTGGGCATCCCCCACAGGACAAAGAAAAGTTTGTCCGCTTCAGATTCGCGGACGGTCATGTGTGGTTCGCGCAAACAGAGGCGTAATCCCTCTTCTCCATAAGAGACACAGAAGTTTCTTTCGGGGCACGAGAGCTTTTTCCTGTGAGAGGTTTCCGTTTCGATGGCTCCTTAGGGAGCTTGTACGCCGTGTTTCTCCGTTTTCTTTAATCTTTCTTTATTATCGTATTCGGACTTTCTTACGTTTAGTTTCAGTGAAATGAACGTAAACGGCAACTTCAACTTTAAAGAGACTCTTTGAACCAACCCGCAACTGCACCTCAAGACATTCAAACTAACGCGCTTTGCCTGCTCTGAAAGACCACGTGAACGCGTGACACGAGGACAGAGACACACACACACGCTTTCGTTCTCAGCCCACGAGAAAGATCATGCAAGTATCGTAATTCCTATCGATTTAAATGCTTTAAGATCTGTTGATTCTTGTTGTCTCAAAGGTTCTGTGTCTGTGATGAATTTTGCCACAAGAAGATCTCTCCAGATCTCCTTACTCTCAATCTCTCTTCCCAGCTCTCTCTCTCTCTCTCTCTCTCTCTCTCTCTCTCTCTCTCTCTCTCTCTCTCTCTCTCTCTCTCTCTCTCTCTCTCTCTCTCTCTCTCTCTCTCTCTCTCTCTCTCTCTCCCTCCCTCATTGTTATCTTCCTCTCTCATCCAATTTATTTCGTGTTTGTAATGTTTTTCGTTTTGTTTGTTTCCGGTGTATACTGTACATATATATATATATATATATATATATATATATATATATATATATATATATATATATATATATTCTGTGTGAATTGTAGTTCAATGTATTATTAGTCCCATTATTAAAGCCATTATATTCTTGATTGCTTTCTGTCTAAGAGCTTATATTACAAGTCAATGAAATGATGATCTGTATAAGCTACAAGGCTTTACAAGTTGTTACTATTTCAGTAACCCAAATTTTATAAACACAAGAAAATCAATGTTCATGGCCGGAACATTGATATTTCTTGGAGTTTATAAAAAGGGATAACTTCGTTGAGAAGTTGTTAAGTTAATCTTACGGCTGTTTGCTGGACAAACCGATTGTTTGATAACTAAATTAATTCCCTTAAAGTTATCTCATATAATCGATCTGTAACGAGACCATTGATATATGAATGAGGAATTATAATTCGTTATGATTTACCATTCACATATACGATCGATCTATTCTCAATTTCGATAAGTTAACTGTAATATGCAATATATTAATCATATTGCATGATTAATTATTAAAATTCCCTATAAATAATTTGAGCTAATTAAGGCAAATCTCAATGTTGCTACATCAATGTCTGGGGGAATCCCCGCCTCGCATTTCCAAAAACATTATTTTTCAGGAAATTTAAAAAACTGCATTTTTTTGTAAACATTGTAGCGTTAAAGTTGATATTATGCCTTATATTGCTATTATATACTGTTGTGTACCAACATTAACACCACATTTCCCCAAAATCATGTTTAATCAGAGATTTATGACTTGAGCGCAGGGAGATACGAGACTTGCTGTCATTGATAAGAATGGAACGGACGCAGACGTCATTAAAGTCTGCGGTCGCATTGAGCCTTTTGACGAGAGACAAGGCTTTAAGAGCTAATCAAAGCTAATGATTGTGTTTACATATATCTTCCTAAACTCTATTTTAAAGGTTTAAAAGCTATAAGTGATGCAATACAAAAAACCGAGCTGACTAGGCTGTCTATAGGCGGAAATTAGCCTAATCTGCACACAAATTTACCTTTGTGACCACGGGCTTCCTTCTGCACCCAAGCATTACAGCTATCGATTTTTAACAAAACAGGCCTACTCAAATGTATCTAACCTAACTATTTTCACTCGTTATTGCCTAAAAAACAGACAGTTATCCAAAGTTAGGCTTACGCTTGAGAGCGTTTTGGCAGCACAGCGTTTTTTCCGTTGAGAGACGTTTCGTTGCTATGATACAGAATATCCGCAGCACAGTTTACTTGTAACTGATTTCGCAGATAATTTGTTTCATACTAAAAAATAATTTTTCATCCATTTTGTTCGGGTAGCTCTGCTGGTTGATGTCGTTGTACAGAAAGAATGTTGTGACAGTTGGTCGGTGTGGTATAAGTCCCGCCCCTCCTCCACTGTGATTGGACGGCTGGGTAAAAAGTGACAGTGATGAGCGCTGCGTTTTACCCAAAGTTGAACATTCTTCAACTCTCGGCGACCTGTAAAAACGCCGAGTTCTCAGCGTTTCAGCATGAAAAAAACGTTCAGCGCCTCGTTACGCTCATGGTGTTCTAAAACCGTGGCGCTCCCATTGAAAACAATTGAAAACATACGCCAGCCGCGTGGAAAAACGCTTTGGTGGACACACGGCCTTAGGGTATTTATTTACATGCACAGTGCCAAGAGAGGGAACTTCGAGTCAGTAAAATAATAATAAAAACAATAATTTAATGGTGGTATCCAAAACATTCAATTCAATTCAAGTATTATATTAGATATACATTTTAAAACTTCAATGCATGTATAATAAGCCTAGTAATAAGTAGACATTTAAAATACATCAATAACTGATATCATAGTTTAACAATAAAATAGAATATATAATATTAATATAAAATAATATTTATAATATAATAAAATCATAGTTAATGCTTGCTTTACTAAGCCCATTACTGAGTGTATTTGTGTTTGTGGGTGAGCCCTTGTCTGTGTGCATGTATCTGTGAGGATCTGTGTGTTTTGTTACATTGCCAAGTAAATATAGCCTGGTTAAAACCAGACCATTCTCAGTTGTAACTGAGTTATGGTCTGGCAAAGCGTCATAGACAAATCATTTCCAGAGGGGCGTCACCAACGGACGTCGCGGATAGACCTAAAACCAATCAGAGCGATGAAGGAGATGACGTATGCAGAGCGGCGGAGAATCTCTGAGTGTTGTTCTTTGCTCGGTTTTTAACAAAAAGGAAACGTTCAAATCGCTTAAAACAGACGCAATAGCTGATTGGAACGAGTGATGTTCGACGGCGGCATCCATCTTTGTAATGTAGGCTACAAAATCTGCTTCAAAATCCCAGGGCTGTCGTCATCGTGTAAAGCCTGGCCCAACGTTTCTGA